CATCCCGAAGAAAGATGACCTTTTATTGGCAGACGTATATTTTGAGCCTGGCGTTCAGGAAACGGGTACACATATCTACCAGTCCCCTTTGATGTTTTTAGAACCTCCTTTTCCGGGACAGTCACGGCATGGAACAACGGGACCGATAACGAACCCTGCGACCAAAACCTATCCTTGGAGATGGCGGAACGAACCCACATGTGGGCGAAACCAAAACACAGAATAAGCGACAGACGGGGTGAACGAGGAGGCCGTTGGTGAGGCACGAGACAGAGAAATTTTCTCAGCCATGATTCATAGAACACGCGCATAAATGTAAGAGGGGCATAATGAGGAGGGCAATGAGCCAGCATTTCACATGGGTATACGGGACAACCACGCGAAACATCAGGCTTATTACAAACATCTCCCGTTAACGCTCCTCTTTATTTTGGTAAGTTTTTGCCGCTACCAGTCAGCATTCGAGAAGCCCTGAGTGAATTGTCAAAGCAATGTCCAACTTCCGTATGTTGTCCTATTATAATGACAACTCAGTGACTCATTGTGACTCAAAAACGATTTGCAGAACAGGCACAAACATGAAAAGTGGCATAGACACGAGGACCGTGAGCCAGCGTGTTCATTCTTTGAAGATAAGTAGATGATACAAATACCCGAAACGTCAGACGTATAATAAGCCTCTCAAGGTGAACGCTTCTTTTTCTTCTGATATTTAAAGTGCTTAAAGGAATAGAAACTGCAATGAGAACGAAACTACTGTGAAGTTCTTCACTTGACATCTTAGCGTCAACCTTGTCAGCAGAAGTTCAGAATAAATCTAGGTGTTGATAGGCAGCGGCCTGTCCTCAAAAATTATTTAAAATCGTAGCAATTCTTCACTGTAGGTGAGCACACATTTTATTACACAAAAGGGTTGCATTCACGAAGCGAAATGTTATCCAGGTCTGCTGAATGAGAGCAGACACGGGTGCTGGGTCCAAGACCGAAAAATTCATTCTGCAATAAAAAAAGTAAGCACAAATTCTGGTGAAAAACAAACTTGAACCTACAGCGCCTACTACATGACCTTCATCCGCCAGTTTACACAAGAACAAACGTTTTTTTCATTGTTTTTCGATGGCTTTTGTAGGGCTTAGCATCCGCTGGACTCCTGTCTAGCATTTTGTTTTGCCGAAACTTTTATCGGTCCAGCGCACTTTTGCCATGCAGCCCGCGAGGGCCTCTTCTTAATACACCTCTCTTCAAATTTGATAATTGGACGCAATGATTGCTAAGCCGCCTAAATCCCCACCTAAGCAGTAAACGACGCGCTTGCCCGTGCGTTTTGCGCATGGTGGCTTGCTTTCACAAATTGACCTCGAGCACTGTTGGCACGTTGGACATGTCTTTGTTTCAACACTTGAAGGTAAACTTCCTTTCGTTAATTGGCATAGCTAATGCAAAATCATT